CTGCATGGTGAAAGACACAGTAATTAGTGTGAATCAACAGCCCTCAGAATGAGAAAATATTTTTGTAAACTATGTGTCAGATAAGGGGCTGATAACTAGAATACACAAGGAACTCAAGCTGCTGTTTCGAAAAAAGATGATCAACCCTATTAAAAGATGAGAGAATGAGTTGGAAAAAAAACCATCTCTAAAGATGACATTCGAATAGCCAAAAGGCATATGAAAAAATGCTCAACATCCCTCATCGTAAGGGAAATGCAGATAAAAACAACAATGAGATACTACCTAACCCTGGTCAGAATGTATAAGATTAAAAAAAAAAGACAAAAAATGGTAAGTGTTGACGGGGTGTGATGAAAGGGGAACTCTCTTACACTGCTGGTGGGAATGTAAATTGGTCCAGCCACTGTGGAGAACAATTTGGAGATTCCTCAAAATTCTACAAATAGAACTACCATATGATGTAGCAGTCCCACTCCTTGGTATCTACCCAAAGGACAGAATAATTCTTCATTGTAAAAGTGCTTGCACATTGATGTTTATTGTGGCACTATTCACAATTGCTAAGACATGGAACCAACCCAAATGCCCCCGTATGGATGAATGGATTGAAAAACTGTGGCACATATACTCTATGGAATACTGTTCAGCCCTAAAAACCAATGGAACCCTGGCTTTTGACAGAAAGTGGAAGAATATGGAAGATTTACTGTGGAGTGAAGCAAGCCAGGCTATGAAGGAGAGACATTGTATGTCCCCACTTGATATATACCGAGTGTCTGCACTCTATGACTGAAACTGATTGACTAAAGGTTGTACAAACACAAGAGATGGGTGTAAATGCCAGATGTGGTGCGTGTGGAGGAGTGGGGCCTAAGGAAGGACATTTGGAGAAGGGATACGGAGGCAGAGCATTGACAGGTTGGGGAGGTGTGGTGTTATTGGTTGAAGATATTTTGATCAACTAGACTGGGGAGAAATGTTCACATATTGAAATATTCAGTTTGTAAGCTAAATAGTGTGATTGAATGTATAAAAATTTTAAAAAACTAAAGGAATATACAAGAAAAATAAAAAAAGGAAAATCCCACCAGGAGTACATGCATGCCAAAAATGCCAAGTGGAGAATGGAGGAGAAGAGATTCTGGTATGGCTATCCCCCCAGGGAGTGATTTCTCACCTTCCCTCACACTGTCTCTCTCTGTCTCTGGCAAATGCATACTTCCTATGGCAAAAACCTTAAAAAAAATTTTATAAAGAAAAAAAGAAAAAAAATATTGTGTTTTATAAATGTGCAATAATAAAATAATAAGAAAAAATAAAATAAAAATTTTAAATATTAAAAAAAGAGAAGACAGAGACACACAGGGAGAGATGGTCACGTGCCCACAGAGACAGTAATTTTATGATGTTGTCATAAGCCAAGGAGTACCTGGGGACACCAGAAGCTAGAAGAAGCAAAAGAGGATCCTTTCCTAGAGGCTTCTTAATGAGCACAACCCTACCAAACCTTTATTTCAGACCTCTGGCCTCCAGAACTGCAAAAGAATAAATTCCCATTATTTTAAGGCAAAAATAAAATAAAATAAATGAAATGTCAAGCTGGCCCCAATCTGTCAAAAATGGACATATCAATATTTACACTGACTAGACAGACTTTAGCTACAATGATACTGGAAGTTTGCTCTCTCCTATCAAAAACCTTTGGGGTTAATTTCTCAGTGTAAACATGTCTGTATATACTGTGATAATAGAAACTTGGAAACACCTAGAATCAGGACAGAGATGAAAAATAACACAATTTCTGACCTATCAGCATAAAACATTTTGTCTCCCCACCACCCAATACTGTCCCTTAATATAAAACTACATTTAAAAGAGTATGATGACTTCATCCCACTGGCTGCCACTCTTCTACAGAATTATCTTCCACTATATTATCAAGGCAAGGGTTGAATCCC